GCCACCTCGCAGTCCCGATCTTAATCCCTTGGACTTGTATTTATCGGGTCACCTTAAATCACTCGTGTATAAAACACCTGTATTAAAGGAAAATGATTTAAGAAATCGAATAATTCAAGGTTGTAATACCATAAGAAATACTCCAGGAGTTTTTGAAAGAGTAAGACAATCAATGAGGAGACGATTGGAATCGTGCGTTTGATCAGAAGGTGGTCATTTTCAACATTTGCTTTGATTCTTTGTTATAAGTGATTATTTATATGATTATTTATAGTTAAATAATAAAAAAAATAAAAATGGTCTGTAATGATTCATGAAAAACTAAATATTTGAAAAATAACAGCGGCGTAACACATTTTTCCTTCCATATTTTTCAGCTATTACCTTGTCCGCACGCCACTGGTTAAACGAAAGCCACTGTGTTTACAGTAAAACACGCAACGTTGCTAACTCTCAAAAGTTGCAAAAATTTAATTAAAATATTTCAAGTGGTTTCGGAAAGTGGTTAGTAAAGTTATTAATTTTAATGTCTGACATACAAATAAATAAACAATTGGCGACTAGTAAAATGTCAAACAAGTACCTGGGAAAAATTGAAGATAACTTTTTTGTTGTACATTGTTCAAAGAAATTAAAAATAAAAAAGAATGAAAAAATGTACTGTCTTTGTTGCTTTTTCTTTCAAATTGAACATTAAAAACAGAACAGTGGCGTAACACGTTTTTCCTTTCAAATTTTTCAGCGATTAAAATATCTTAAGTGGTTTTGGAAATATTTAAAAAATTGTATTTTTTTTTATGAAACTTTCACACCCTGTATTTCCGTAACGAAGCATTTCTGAGACATAGGGTATATTACAAAAATACCTTTATTTTAGCTCCAGAATACGCTCCTGAAGTTATGTACCGTAATTATCGAACACCCTATATATTAGCAAAAAAAGCAAAACGAGTTAATATCATGATGCAAAAAAGAAATACTCTGCAATTTTTAAAAAAGTGGAAAAGACTCAATAATTTAGTATTATTTTAAGTAAAACATTAAATATCGCATAAGAGTGGAAGAAAAGTCTAAAAACTTATAATTTTCTAAAAAACTGGTTATCAGAAATCTACAAAATTTGGGATTTTTTCTTTGGGTTTTGTTAAATTAACCGTTTTTTCGATAATATTGGTCACTTTGGTTTTTTAAATGCAACATATGCAAGTTGGTGGTGGCCTATTAAGGCACGGAGGCGTATAGTACAGCCTTCGAGCATAATATATGCTCGAAGAGTACAGCTAGGATTGCCACATGTCCTTTTTTGAAGCAAAATGTCCTTGTGACTTTTTAAAGCCTAAAATATCTTTTTTTTACGGCAAATGTCTGTTTTTACGGCAAATGTCTGTTTTTACGGCAAATTTTTTTTTTATTTATTTTATTATTTCAATTTTATTGCACTAGAAAGTGATGCACTACTAATTATTTGTTTGCACCACCTTCCTTGAGAAATTACAGCTATTTATATGTAGGGGGCAGAGCAAATAAACGTTGACCCCTCCCTCCCCCAGTAATTTTTTTATGATTTACTGTAATGCACTCAAATGCACCACTAATAAAAATGTTTGCACCCCCTCAGTAGTTATAGCTGTTTATTTGCCGTGAAGTTTGTGAGAGGTTTTCTCAGCTGGTTAGAAATACTCTCACTTGTGACGTTCAAACTGGGTGTGCTCGGGCGCCGCAGTTTGTTTTAGAGTGGTTTGCTCCACTTTGCCTGTTGGAAAAAGTTCCAAGAAAGGCTGCAGGTAGCTGCAGTGAAGAAAAAAAAATTCCAGAGGATCAACGTACGATATAATAGTAGTTATGTAGTACCTGAAAAAAGAGATTTACGAAGTACCACGCGGCGTTGTAGCAAGTCTACGGTCTTCGGCAGGGCGAACTTTCGGAATCTCATGAATTTCTTCTCTAACGTCTTAGAGCTTTTAACTATTCGGTTATCCCTAAAGCGGGAAATATAGAAACACGGCGGGAAGTGGACAGGAGCGGAAGTAATGTGCAACAGAGAAATTGCAAATCTAGCTACAGCCTAACGAACCACAAGATTAATATCTTGGCGACGCAACCCCTGAGGATGTAACTCTGGGAGCGAAGCCGAATCAGCCCATTCTACCACGCGGGATAGTCACTATACATCGATTTACAATTCAAAGTCCAGTCAACTGGTCGGGAATTCACTAAGAGTCTAACTAACGGTGGGGACAGGGATCAGAATTAAATAAACCAAAAGAACGTTAATCGCGGAGCTAAAGAAATTTACTAGAGGAATACAGACTTGTACTAAATAGCAGTGAAGGTAGCTAAGCTTCACTTCTGTTCAATAGCAAATCCAGAACATATCATCTGAGTTGGTTACCAAATTAGCCCAATCTACTTCGGGAATAACAACTCAGACGATACTCTAAAATGGGAAATTTTATAGCGGAATGTACAAAAGAAATACTTAGGAACCCTAACACAGCCTAACAGGAAAGGTGAAGGGATAAGAATCAAATAAATTAGTTACGTAATGAATGTTCAAGAAATTTATATTACTCCATTTGAAAGAATTCAAAAGTTAAAATTAAAAACTACGATTGACTAATTTCTTGGAAACCCGGTATAATTAATTTTAAACAAAATATTCGGAGAAGTTCAAATAACTTCTAAGTTAATCACCCACCCGGTATAAATATTTTTCAAACTAATATTTATAAAATTAACGGAAACTAAATTTTGTACAACCCCGGTATAACTATTTTCGAAACTAATATTTTCAATATTTACAAGTTTTAGTTTAACGGTTTATTCAGTATTAATATTTCATAAAACAAATCAAATTATATTTATTAAATAAAAATAATCCGAGCTAATATTTAATTGAAATGAATTAAATTATTTTATACGGCTCTCGACGTTATTGTAAAATTAGCAGACAAAATCCGGATTTGCTTCTAAAATACTGATAAGGTTGCAAATAAAAAATTGAATAAAAAGAAAATATAAATTTATCGGATTCCTACTGGTTTCACACGGTTTTCGGGACACTCGGCTGAATAAAACTACAGGAATAATCGAATTACCTATCGGAATAGAGTACAACGGAAAAACAGAAGAGATTTTGAAATTCTTACGGAATTGACGTGGTATCGCAGTTCGGTCTCAAAACAACTGGTCGCGAGGAGAGATTAAAATTAAATGATCGTTCAGTATTTTCGACTGGCACACGTTCTTCAGCTCTCGCGCCAATATCAAATGCGCGAGATTTGCAGTGGGGACGCGATCAATTTACAGTAATAGGAAATTTTAAATAAAATCGATAATTATTTGCAAATCGCGGAAATTTCAGAGAATAATAATATAAAAATCGGGGAACTTTAAGAAAAGGGTTGATCTCCCATTGAAGTTTTCGCAAAAAATTGCACCGGTATGCACTCCTGATGCACACATATGCACCACCAATAAAACTTTCTGCACCCCGCCGCTTTATTAGTTATAGCTTTTTCTTTAACGCGAAGTTAGCCCCATCCAATGTTTTCGCAAAAAAATATTGCATTGCACTGGTATGCACTCATATGCCCTATCAATAAAACTTTTTTCATCACCTCCCTTCAGTAGTTATAGTATTTTATTGTGATGTTTGTTTATTTTCAAACAACAGTTTATTTATTAATAATTTATTTAAACACTTATTTATTTTAAACAATACTATTTTAATTTATATATACTTCGAATGTCTTTGAATCGCTCACTATTTATATTCACCACTGTCTATCTACTAATTACTATTTATCTTCACTGTCCATATATCAACTGATTTTGATGGCTCTCCTCCACCAATTTATATACAAATTGGTGGTCTAGAATGCTCCCCCATCAAAATTGCCAGTATGTACCAGAAACGTTATCACGTTCTAGAAATAGTATCTCGTTGACCCTGGAATGTTCGCGAAAGTGTCTCCACCATAGTCGTGCCATAGATTTGGTCTTAAGGGGTTTAATTATGTATAATAATCGGACAAGTTGAGCCTCAAAGGCCAAATAAGACAGAGAGGGACTTGTAGGGTTAGAGCATGACTGAATAATGAAATGGCTCACATAACATTATTTACCGTGCAGTTAGCCTCCCTCCAATAATGTTTTCCCAAAAAAGAATATTGCGCCGATATGCACTCCTGATGCACCACCAATAATACTTTTAGCACCCTCTCCCATTAGTAGTTATATTAATTTCTTTATTGTGAAGTTAAGCCTTCAAAAAAAAAACTGTTGCACCGATATGGATATATCATTTAGAGTCATTTTAGCCCTACATAAATTTTGATCACTTCGTATGGATACATATTTTAATGTACTCATAGTATTTTTGATTAAATCTCTCAATTTCAATCCAAATATAAATTTTTACAACAAATGAACATGTCGGACTAACGCCGTCCATCCAAAACGATCAGGAATTTTATTAGTGGTTATAACATTGGTAACCTTCAGGAACAAGATGCATTATATACATAGAACTACGTATAATAGCACAGCTTGAAGGAAAATCCTCGTAACCAGATGGTTTTTATGAAACAAGTATTCCCTTTTTCACTTCAGTTTTTAGTTAGTTTACAGGAAACCGAGATCTCTTGATAATCTATTCTCTACAGGGGGATTATTATAATTATTAATATTATAATCCAACCTTCGATTTTATAGAACAAACTCTCGGTTGTCAGTCTACACCTTATATAATTTTTTTTTCTTAAAAACTAAATTTTTATCACTTTATTTTTTATTTTTGAGGCCTCAGCTACCGGAGCTAGTCGGCCTTGTGTAGGCTTTGTTACAGTTTCCCTGCACTGCTTTAGAAACAGCACTGCTAATTAATTCCCATCGATTATACTAGTTGTTTGACAGATTCTTTTTATTTTATATCTTGTAAAACATCATGATTGTCCTTTATTGTAAAAAATGACTGCAGCGTGTGATTTCCATTTTAGATAAAAAATACAACGTGATTCAATGCACCGGTTACTTGAAATCCTGGGCGCCGGCAAAAATCGGGTTAGAAGAACAAGAAGAAGGAGATGGTGATTCTTGTAATTTGTCATGTTTGGTTGCTGTAGGACGAATTCTTCCGCACATATCCACTGTAGCTGCCAATTGTCAAGGAATGTCCAACGTAAGACAAATCCAATTCATATCCAGGCACGCGTTGGACGGGAAGTTTTTGTTTATTGATCAAAGGTAAAATATTAACTGTCTTACAGCTCTGTGAAGATGGTCCCCCCGAAATTTGAAAATTTTAGTTTTGGAAGCGGCATGCGTTTGACCACCTATTGACCATATTTAACCACCCACTAACTTTTTATGACAACCCTCAGAAACCTAAATATTTAAAAAAATAATAAAGGCCATGTACCCGCTGGCCCCCCGAAGTTATTATTTTTTCAAATTGACTGCACACATGATTAGATTTCAAAGCTTAATAATTTTTATAATTATTACCACAAGATGGTATTCATGAATCTCATTTCAGAGATAATTTTTTAAAGTAAACTACCACATGTTCTTAGTCAATCTCTTTATTTTTCGTTTGCATTTACATTTATTTATCACAGAATAAACAATATACAATAACAATTAATATTATTTAATTATTTAAATGTAAATTAGAAAAATATTTTTCCTACGACCACTTAGGAAAGTGACACATATCACACTATATAGTCCTATGGAAAGTGTCCTATATCACACGCGTATGACTAAGAATTTACTTTCCACCCAAGTGAGAATATGTTACTTTCCGCAGTAGTTGTCAAAAAATGTCAAACGCCTAATTTCTATTTTGATCTATGTAATGTCCATATTAATACTAAAATCGATATGATTGTTAAATTATTGAAATTGTTTTAAATTAGATCCTAGATATTTATCTTTAACAATTATTATTAAAATAATTTTAAAATAACTAAGATTATGTTTGCTCTTTAATTTGGGTAAATACATAACCGATTAGATCATTCAATTGACGTAAGGCCCATTAGCTCAGTTGGTTTAGACGTCGAACTTATCAACTTTGTCATTTTTTGACCGCGTTCAATCTGTGGTTCAAATCCTGGCGGAGCCGAATTTTTTTTTTGTTTTTTTTTATTTTTTATTAGTTTTTTTTGTTTAGAAAATATGAAAATTGAATAAATACGATTATTGTTGATTATTTTTTTAAATACATTTTAATTAATATAGTAATAATAACCTTGGTTTTACATTTTTTTGATATTATTTTGTAAGCTAATTTCTATTTTGATCTATGTAATATCCATATTAATACTAAAATCGATATGATTGTTAAATTATTGAAATTGTTGTAAATTAGATCCTAGATATTTATCTTTAACAATTATTATTAAAATAATTTTAAAATAATGTTTGCTCTTTATTTTGGTTAAATACATAACCGATTAGATCATTCAATTGACGCAAGGGCTGTTAGCTCAGCTGGTTAGGACGTCGAACTTATCAATTTTGCCATTTTTCGACCGCGTTCAATCTATGGTTCAAATCCTGTCGGGGCAGAATTTTTTTTTTGTTTTTTTTTATTTTTTTTTATTTTTTTTTTATTTTTTTTAGTTTTTTTTTGTTTAGAAAATATGAAAATTGAATAAATACGATTATTGTTGATTATTTTTTTAAATACATTTTAATTATTATAGTAATAATAACCTTGGTTTTACATTTTTTTGATGACATTATTTTGTGGTCGTAGGAAAAATATTGTACATCACTTGTGTGAAAAGTGATTTTCCACACTCGTAATGTAATATACTATTTATTCCAATTTCAGTCTCTCTTCATGTTTTGAAAATAATTTTGAAATAAGTCAGCATTATTATTATAATTTACACATCGAACTAGATACGAAATTGGAACGTGTTTATTATTAATTGCATATGAAATTAAACATCCCAGGCAGCAGACTGACGTCATTATGACATCTTATTTTCGTCATACAGGACGTCATTTATCCTCAGAAAACTAACGTGATAATGACGGTAAAATAACGTGAATATGTCACAGCCTAAATGACGTCATATTTAGCCGCCCTTTTCACGTCTAATTATGACGTGTTTATGACGTTGTTTTAATGTCACCTTTGTCGTTATTCTTTATACTTATTTGAGAAGTCACTATGACGTTACATTTGATATTGTTACTCCTTTGTAACTTTTCTATAGGAACTGTGGGTCACTTAATAAAACAAAATTAGAAAATGAAATAATTATAATTAAAAAGAAAAAAAGTTTAAATACATGAAATGTTATTGGCAAAAAACATTAATTTATATAAATCCAACTGCTCCAAATGTGGCCAACTTGTTCGTTATTATTTTGGTTTGGCACAATAAGTGCCGCCATTTTATACTATTTCACGAACCTGGGAATATTTTAGGAAACATCCTATGAATGTAAAAGATATAAAAGCATTAAAGAATAAGGATAATATAGATATAAAAATACCTTATGCTGGATTGATACTGATATAACTTTTTTCACTGGGAGCTACGATCCACGATGCACACACAATTACACATGGCCGATGCAACAATTTGCGATACCGTTCTCGTGCTTGCTCGAACGGTTCGAACACACACGAGCCATACTCCACAGACCGATAACCATAGACAGACGCAGTCATGTGTCACGTGGTGTCATCAGTCTTTATGCATTTAAGCGCCAGATTAAAACGTTAATAGACCTCACAGTTTTAAAAAATAATTGTTTATGCCATATTATTTTACATAAATAAAATGTATTGAAATCACGTTTAATATAAACCTTAATTTAATAGTGACAATAAATTGACGTCATACTGACATCGAATTTAAGACGTCAAAAAGACGTTAAAGAAGTGACGTTATAATCACCTCATTTTTTGGTAACAAGACGTCGATGACCAAGAATTACCAAAAAATGTCGTCAAAATGTCGTCAGCCTGCTGCCTGGGATTTTAAATCAATAAATAATTAATTTCATATACAGGATGTTAATTTAATTGGTGAATATAAAGAAAAATGTTCAAATCTGAACACAAGATTAACCAATTTTTAACCATGTTTGACCAAGCATTAGATTATTTTACTTAAAATAACTTAAAGGGGTAAATTATAGAAAATCAAAAGTTCTGGGACGAATTTCAAATTTGAAAGAATGATCAAAGGTCAGAAAGGCACAATAGGATCCAAAAATGTTTAAAATTATGTATCGCCGTTTAATCACCCCCTAAAATGTCTCAAAAGACCCCAGAGGGGTTAAAAATTCAAAGAAAACCTTTCCCAATCTAATTTCTTGTTCAACAAAATGGTCAATCGACACAATAATCGACATAATCGACACAATAAAGATCCATAAAGGTTAAGAATTAAGATTTGACGGTTGACCACCCCCTAAAATAATTTTAATGTGCTCAAGTAGTGTGAAAATATTTTAAGATGACTCTATTACCAAATTATTACTATTAAAATTATTTCATTATCTTTTTCTACACCCGTATTATAATAATGCACTTATATGCCCATAATCCGTTTCATAATGATACCCATTATGATACAGATTTTTCATAACGATACAGATTTTTAATCAATAGAAACCCATAATTTTTCAATCAAGCATGCTGTGAATTTGACTTTTGTCCTAGGTTTCTATGTAATTGTTTTAGTTGTCAAAATCAGTAAGTATTAAATTTTCGAAGATAGGTAAACTTCCATAATTATATTATCAAAATGTCTAATATTAGCGATATAGACTCCTCCACATATAAATACAATATTTATAGTTCTTGATTATTTATAGGGTGTAGAAAAAATAGCGTATGCAACTCTCATGTAATGGTTATTACATGATCGTTGCATAATATCTATTATAAATCTGTTTTAAATTTATGTCATTTGTTGTATAAATAAAAAATATTGTTTCTGTAAATTCTTAAATTATATTAGGGGGTAGACAAACGTCAAAACATAATTCTAGATCGGTATGGATCTTTATTGTGCACTTAAGCCGTTTGACCTTTTTTTCCAAGCCGAAATTCGATTACCGAATTTTATTTTTCGAATTTTCACACCATTTGAGCACATGTGGTCAAACGTCAATACATAATTCTAAATCGTTAGGGATCTTTATTGTGCACTTTTATATCCTGAGGCGCGTAGCGCCGAGGGATATAATGTGCGAGGTAAATAATAGCTTTCTCAGCCGAGGTATATATAGATTTTTTTACTACTAACATTAATATATTAGCAATTTTAATTTTGACATAAGTAATTTCCTAACAATTTGTTAAATATTTCGAAATATCAAGCAGAGTGGAGCGTGTTACTAATCAGACTGGCTTTATTTATGTAAAAATTTGGCATGTGTCAAATTTTGATATGATTCTAAGAAATATCCCATTGCATGTCCAAATGTTAGTTCCATTAATACAGGAAATGCTGGAATACACATGATTTGCCACAATTGTACAATTAATTATAATTTCAAATAATTTTCAAGCCTATTGCCTATGTTCAATTTTCTACTTCTAGTTGATAATTAACTTAACAAAAGTTTCTGTCAATATTTTTAAAATTATAGAATTGTTCTCATTATTTACCTAGGTGTTTTTTTATTATCATAATTTACCTAGGGTGAGAAATATTACTTCTCGTTAGGGGAATGGAGTGAATAATAGCAATTTCTCAGGTTAGTAGTAAAAAAAAATTATTTTAGGGGGTATACAAAGATAAAAACATAATTGTAATAGTATATTACACACCAAGGTGACCAAGGAGACGCGAAGCGTCGAGGTTAGCTATGATCTCGAGACAGGAATGAAACTTCCTACCGAGGTTTGTATACTATTTTATTTACAACCATCATATTTCGATCAAAGTTAATAAATCTCTGTTTCGTTCTGAACATACCTAAAATATTACATTTAACGACAAATTGCCAACCGCGCGGTTTTCTCAGAATAATCAAGTAAATATATTATTACCGTGATAACAGGGTAAACAACTATCACCAATATAAATAAATGTCAGATAAAGCCGGATATTAAATTCGCGAATAATAAATATCAATAAGTAGTTTGTTGTATTTTAGTACATTGTTGTTTTTTATTGTTTGCCATTAAATTATTATTATAAAATTTGTCAAAAAAATGTATTATTTTTTTTTAAATATAAAAAATATTCATCTAGAATAAATGAAATGAGGGCGGGAATTGAGGGCGGGAAGTGAGGGCGGGAAGTGAGGGCGGAAAGTAGACGTTAGTAATGACAGCATTACATATATGGTTGTAAATAAACTATTATACCTAGATCTTTACTTGCAATTATGTCAATTGACCATTTTTTCCAATTCGAAATTTTATATCCCAATTGTATTTTTCGAAATTTCACACTACTTAAAAACACTAAAAATATTTTAGGGTTGGTCAAACGTTAAAATATAATTATAAACCAGTATGGATCTTTGTTGTGCACTAATGTCGTTTGATCATTTTTTCTAATAGTGGATTTTATTTGTTGCCTAGTGTCATACTCAACACCGTATACGAACTATCATACTTGTCAAAAGTATATGCTACACCACATCGAAGTATGTGATGCTACACTCAAGTATGTGTCAAATATTTGAAGCTACACTGAACAAACAAATCAAATGCGATTAGTGCAGAAAACTTACACCTAGTGCAACAAATAAAATCCACTATAAGTCAAAAGGCCCTTTCCAAATTGTATTTTTCAAATTTTCACACTACTTAGAAATACTAAAATTACCTTAGGGGGTGGTCAAACGTCAAAACATAATTTTAAACTGAAATAAAATGAATTTAGCTCAAAGCCGAATATCACATAAAATACAACGACCGTTTCCCCTTCCGAAAACAACTACTCCTTTGGCTAATACCACAACAGGCATTGAATTACATCCGAAGGAAAAACAGCAGAGATAGAAATTAATTTTCAACACTCTCTACTTCGATTTTGCTAACCAAGGAGAACATCATTCTTGGACCGGTTTCGTCCTTATTAGGACTCCTCAGCAAGAAATAGATAGGTCGTTGTATTTTATGTGATATTCGGCTTTGAGCTAAATTCATTTTATTTCATTTTGCTACTATTACATTTGAGTTTTGATAATTTATTATCGTGTATAATTTTAAACCTTTACGGATCTTTATTGTGTCATTATGTCGATTGACCATTTTGTTGAACTAGAAATTGGATTGGGAAATATTTTTTTTTTATTTTTAACCCCTCTGAGGTCTTTTGAGATATTTTAAGGGGTGATCAATACATAATTTTAAACGTTTTTGGATCCTATTGTGCCTTTCTGACCATTGATCATTCTTTTAAAGTTGAAATTCATCCCAGAACTCTTGTTTTTCTATAATTTACCCCTTTAAAGTATTTTGAGGGGTGTTAAAAAATCTAAGGGGTGGTCAAACATGGTCAAATAATGGTTAAACTGATGGTGCAGTCAGTTTTAAAAAATAATAACTTCGGGGGGCCAGCAGGCACTCGGCCATAAATATATTTTTAAATATTTAAGTTTCTGAGGGTGGTCAAAAAAAGTTAGTGAGTGTCGTGGGTGGTCAATAGGTGGTCACACGTATGCCGCTTCTAAAACTAAAATTTACTTATTTCGGGGGGCCAGCTTCACAGAGCTGTCTTACATTCGAATTCATAAAGCAGTTTTAAATAGTTACCTACTTGTACATTTTAAAGATAATACATGAAGAGAGTGCCAATAGAGTTACAATTACACTTTTTTTTTGTTTTGTTTGTTTTTATGATGTACAGTAGGGCACATTTGAGGTGGCAAGTGAAATGCGCAGAACATAGAAAGAGAGTATAGCCTGAGAAGGATAGACCCAGCTTTCAGTAGTATTTAAACATGACGATAAACATATCTAAAGGGAAATTTCTATCTGATTTGCCAGTGCGGATCTAATTCTGACTTGCCATCTCAATCTTGTAGTCTGTAAGTATTTATTAATAATCAAAACGAACCGAGTTATGCTTTTATTTGGCATGATGAAATCTTCTCCGCTGACAAGTCCTCTTCAACCATTTGTTTAGATCAGCAGGCCAGTTTCTTTTCACTCTTCTTCCTTATTTGGGTTCTAGAAGTGGATGCATTAGTTTATTTACGTCATTTTTTAGTCTGATATGATCGTAGAAGGTTACGTTAGACACATACCTGCCAAGATGCATCTGATATCATACTGAGTATTTTGAACTGACTTTTTTGGATTGATATACCTACTATCAAATTCCTAGAGCTCAATACCATGGGTTTAGATAGGTTTATTTTGTAAAGGAGAAGTTTATTTTGTAGTGCTAATTTGAATTATCTGCCAATTAACCAGTATAACTCTTTTTTGGCGTTTTTTTCACTATATATGTTCTTTCTTGAATCTAGATGCATTTCTAGATATTTCCCATAAACGAATTGCGGCATTTGAAAATAATTTAGAAAGACTGGAAGACATTGATGTTTCTTAGTGTAAAAGTCACTTGGACTACTTTTGCCTCGTTTAGTTTTATTCGTCATTTGATTCGTTACTGTAATTAGTAAAATTCAAACAAATGAGGTTATGTTTAAATGTAGCGAGTGTAATTATGTATTTTTTGTTTTTAGATCGACTTTAGTATTAGGTTATCTACCTCAAGAATTACTAGGAACCAGCATGTACGAGTATTTCCACCACGAAGATATCCAGTCGTTGGCCGATTATCACAAAGTCGCTTTACAAAACATAAATTCAGTAACGACCGGCGTGTACAGGTTTCGTACTAAAAGTGAAGGTTTCATAAAACTGCGCAGCGAGTGGAAAGCCTTCAAAAATCCGTGGACCAAAGAAATCGAAAATTTCAATTCCAAAAATAACCTCATTTTGTAAGTAATAATATATTTCATGGGGATGGAAAGTGATATTTTGTACACGAGTGCGACAATCACACGAGTGTGAAAAATGACCTTTACACAAATGATGTACAATATTTTTCCTACGGCCACAAAATAAGTTCATCAAAAAAATTTAAAACCAGAAAATCTGGCTAGAGGGATTCAATCAAGATGTGGCTGGTTCTAGGTTTGTTTTATTTATTTGCCTTATAGTGATGTCGGATGAAAAGGAGTTTATCGCGACATTTCAGCTGCCACCTCAACTCTATATAAGTCCTAAGCAGTGCGATATGCATCAGTTTCCTAGGTGGTCGTAGGAAAAACACATTCACATTAAAGAATCGTTGTTTTACTCCGTGTTGAAAACTGTTTTTTTTTTGCAGAACTGACTTTAGTGCAGTCGAAAGCAGTGCCAGTCAATCCGATATAATTCAAGAAAGTATCGATTTCCTATCGCAACGTAAGTCTCAACCTAAAATTTTTATTTTCTGTAAACTTGGATCGCTATTTTAAAGGTTACTTTGCTGTTTCCTTGAAAAATTTGCTGAATTCATTCAAGGTGTATATACCGAAACGAGCTGTGTACTTATAGCAGGGACATAAGTTGGAAAGGCTTTTGGTAGGTAGATAGGTGATAAACGTCAAACCCATTCGGAAGACTTCGAGAATTTTGCGGTGTTTGTTCGCCATTGTCGTATCATAGAATAAAAATAATACTAAAAATTTTAAATTATTACCGACGGAATCGGGCGAACGTATCTATTTATGGGCTACAAATAATTATTTAAACAAGTAATAATATCCCAAATCATAATTAAACAAAATTTCAACAGCTACTTACAATTTATTAAACTATTTACGCGAAATTGTTATTATCAAATAATTTTTTACGCGAATGTTTCGCGTTCACTTCGGTTAGCTCCACGGCAAAACTGGCAAAAGCCTTTCCCACTTTTGTCCCTACTATACTACTTTTTATTCTTTATTCCAAACGGAAAAAAATGTTCTTCTGATTTTCAAGTTCAAACAAGTTCATTTACCTTTAACTTTAAGTAACAGTTACTTAATAAAGACTTTAATGCATGTGTTAGGAATAAACGCCGATTTCGGCCAATGGTCGAAAAATATGACCAAACGCGTTCTGGCCAACAGCATATTGCCATTGTCCGAAATATCGCTTTTCGACTGTTTAATGTAGACCAACGCGTTCTGGACATCTTGCAATTGCCAGAATGTGTTCTGACTTCCCCAAGTCAGCCTGAAAGCATTTTGATACTCTTCAAATTGGCCGAAACATGTCAAGCACACAAAAAGCTGTTTTTATCACATTTTTTCTAACGAAAATTTAATTTATGTAATATTTTTTGCAGATGAAAATATGATATATTTGGAAGAATGGGGCTATTTTCTATTTCTGAGTGTAATTTTTTAAATGTAGGAATTTCATTTCGAAAGAAAAAAGAATGTACAATTTGCCTTATTACATTCTTTACCCAAGTTTCAATAAAGGTCTCGTTTCTTCCTGGGGGCTTTTCGGATGTGAGACTTCTCCAATGACTGTATCGAGGGCGGCTGCAAGGGAAGGGCTATGGGGGGCCATGGCCCCCACCGAGATGATAATTTTCCCTATTTTTGATCCATTTATTCAAAAAAATATGCCAAAAAGAGAATGGCCAAAGGCAATGGCCCCCACCGAAAATTCGTCTCGGAGCCGCCCTTGGACTGTATCTTCTTTAATAATGTTATACACTGTCCGCTAGATACTCCAGTATAGGTCTCATATTTAGTGGCTATATTTCAACCACAGAAAGTGAAACAGTCTTTTCGAAGATTATTAAATATATTAAGTCGATATTTTTTCTTCTAAAGATAATGCTTTACGCGTACTTGTGCTTGCAGTATTTTCAAATGCTCTCGCCATTCTTATATAACTGTAAAATTATAATATATCGATGGCTCAATCAAAAACCGCCACAAGTCAAAAAACAAAGAAAATTACATTTTTGGTTCAATGGATGCAAAATATTATTAAGATTTTACTTTAAATACCGCCACAAACAAAAATATTCTTAAAGATGCCCGAAAATCATTTAAAATCTAGCCACAAACTGTGTCTAAAACTACCTTTATTCGAGTTATTTTCTGCAAAAACACCCAAATTTTTTACTAACTATGCAATAACCCGCTTTTATAATTGTAATCTTTAATTTTTACAGCAAAATATCGAAGCTTTTAAATAAAATATAAATATTTTATGTCAAAAACAAAATAATGATAATAGAGACTTAAAATTCCAAATTGAAATTTCTCGAAACAATAGTATTTTAGTTGTGGCAGTATTTGATTGAGCCATCGATATACAAATATAAAATTCTGAATCAATTAAAATACATACGGTACGACTATAAATAAATAAATTCTGACTTATCTGTCAAAAGAAAAGATTTATTACTGTAAAACCATGGAAACATGAATAAATCTAAACGAAAACTTTTATTAGGCCAATCAGATGTATTTAAATTTTCATTTTAACTACAAATAAGCATTGAAGGATGAGGTATAAATAAAATGTCTACCTCTTGAACCTGTACTACGTTCTGCAAATTAAATTACTGCATTCCTTTCTTCGCTAGACTAGTTTAAGTTTGTATGACTTTCGGTACCTAGATTGGAACTTTTTTATTTATTGATTTCATTATTATTTTTCTATTAAAAATGTTTTTGTTTTCTATTATGTTTAGCATCATATTATTAATGTATATAAATTCTTAGAGACCTTTTTTATTGTTACGTGTTAGAGTGAGGGACGTATGTGTGACCTATTTTAAGATGGAAGTAGAACCCGTATTTGACTGACGATTGGAATCATTTTTTAAGATTTGATTTATTATAGTGTACCTAATATACAGGGTGTTTCAAAAACATTGGTCTTAAATTATACCACGTATTCTTGGGTCAAAAATAGGTCGATTAAACCGTACTTACCTATATACAAAAGTGCACCCAAAAATAGTTAAGATAAAAAGATAAAAATTTAAATGAGTTTTTTTAACGTTGCTCTTGAACTGTTTGACATTTTTTCATGAAATTTTATATGACGTGTTGGAATACCATGACTAACAAAATCGAAGTAGAGGCAATATTTTTTTTTATTTTTGTAGGATTTTGGAGGGTGTCACCGCCCCTTTCTCTACTCAACTTTTTTTAATATAAAATTTTATTAAAAATCGAACGCTACTGAAATGCAACATCTATTTGGAAAAATGTTTGTCTCTCAGTATTTGTTTGTAAAATGTTTGGTTTAGACGATACAGCCACTTAAAATGACATCTTAAAAATATTCAATGTAAATTATACGTATGCAAAAATATCAAAATTCGATTTTCATTATTAAAACTATGTAGTAAGTGTATACAGGAGGAGAATGTAATTTTGAACACCTGTTAAATTATTTTTTTTTATTTTGATGACATTAGTTTGTAATTTAAAAATAAACTTGATTTTGATATTTTTCATACGTAGAATTTCCATTGAATATTTTTAAGTTGTCATTTCAAATGGTTGTATCGTCTAAACTAAACTTTTTACAAACAAATACTAATAGACAAAAAAGTTTCCAAATGGATGTTGCATTCCAGTGGCGTTTCATTTGTAATTAAATTTTATACTACAAAAAACCTATAAAAATCAAGAACAAAATATTGCCTCTTCCTCGGTATTATTAGTCATGGTATTCTAACACGTCATATAAAATTTCATGAAAAAATGACAAACGGTTTAAGAGCAACGTTAAAAAAATTCATTTAAATTTTTATCTTATACACTAATATATACTATATACTATTTTTGGGTGCACTTTTGTATATAGGTAAGTACGGTTTAATCGACCTATTTTTGACCCAAGAATTTGTGGTATAATTTATGACCAATCTATTTGAAACACCCTGTATATTATGGCATCATTTGCAAATAATCCAGTGGTGTTAAGTTTTTAGCTTAAATTAAAAAAAAACAAAAACCGCTAGGTAATATAATTAGGGTTTCAAAAAAAATCAATGCGTGCCTTGAAAATACAGATTAATTATTGAAGATTTTTGAGATAGTAGATTTTTCGACCCTTTATGATTTTATGATCCTAATAAATAGTTCCAATCGTCTGTAAAATAGAAAACGGGTTTTACAGGAGTACTTCCATCTTAAATGGGTCACACTGCTATTAAAAAGTGTAGAAGTTAGTGACGTACATATTTTTTGTTAAAAAATTTTAAAGCGCTCTTTCTCACGTTCTTCTATATTGAACCTATTTACATCTTTTAATTGTTTAAATATTTGCTTTTTTGGGTTTATTGTAGAACTAAAATTTCATTCTATTCGTTAAAGCCGTATCGGAAATATTTTGAAAAAAAACCTAAAAAAATTAAAAATTTAACACTTTATGTTTTTAAAATAAAGCAAAGCCCATGTTGATAGGAACTATTTGTATTATTTTTGGGAATGGAATCACACCAGGAATTATGGAACATGTTTTTTGGAACACAGTTAAATATTGTTGTATTTTGGTATTGTTGTTTCCATGAAGATTGTGGTATGTTTGTATTTAAGAAAAATAAATAATATATTTTGTCAGACATCGGTCTGCATTAGACTAATTCCTAATTAGGTCATAATTAGAAATTGCTAAATATGGCGACCATGAAAGGACATGGTATTAATGGTACCTATCGAAAAGTTGATGAAGGCGCTAGATCTACAAAGGACGTCTTTCGAGAAGGTATATCAAGCCCTCACGAATTAGGTTCCGAATTAGGCACCGAAGTTCAAGGGTACCTGAAGCTTCTTGAACAAAAAATTGAAGAAATGTCTGCACAAAACAAAAAGCTCTTCGATTTCGTGTTAGAAAATAATTCAGAAGATATCGACATTGATGGTGAGATGGCAAAAGATAATTAATATCACTGTCAATTTAATACTCTAAAATTTAACGTAGAAAAATATTTAAATAAGTACAGTAACCGTTAAGGTCCCATTTGGAAACGCGCGCCAAACGATAGGAGACCGAGACAGCAATAAGGCGGCAAATATTGCCATACTAAATCTGCCTTCGTTGGTCTCGTCTACCCAAATGAATCGGTCATTTGAGAAAGCCCATAAGTCACAAATTTTACATATTCATTGCTAACACTTCGGTGTACATTTCAACGAGAAATCCCATTAATCACAGCACTCCTTGTATTAAATTTTCAAACCCCAAAATCTGCTTTACTTGAGAAATCCTATAAGTCGCTGATTGACCGAAATTATGTTCGGAATACCTGTGCGATCCGTAGGGATGGAAGGATTGGTGCTTTGGTGAAAACATCACTTTCTAATTACATATTTTATTTTAAAACACTATTGAAACTATGTTAATTTTATTACATGGTTCATTTACAAACTACATACTTTTTACACTATATACAGACTTTTCTTCGGAAATTTGTTACTTAAGCACTCATGCCATCTTGTACACCGCAGAACGATGTGTTTTGTTCTCATACGATTTTTTTCTTGTTGTGTCTGAGAGATACTGAAGCTCTGCTGGGAGAGAAGTTGTTCAGCTAGATTGAGAGTGACTCTCGACGTTGACCAATTAGGAAGTGCCTAACGCCGGTATTTTTAACCATTAAGGGGATTGCCGGGTATGGATGTCCAATGAGAAGTGGACAAGAAGTGAATGACGCCTGTGACGTAGCTATTAGACGGAAGACCGTTCTTATCGGTCAAGGCAGTGCCGCTCCAGGAGTAAAAGGCAAGGCGGCTTGCATAGACGTCTCCAGGAATAATAAAGAATTGATAATAAAATCTTAGTGCAATGTTAAATATAATTCAACAAGCAGTATTGTCTAAATAAATTAAAATAATATCCGTATATTTGAGAAACCCCATAAGTCATGATTTTCAAAAACATATTTTGGACTCTTCAGAAAAAAAAGCACAAGTTGTTTTGATACTATCAAATAGTAAACCAATTTCGGAAAAATCAATGCTTTGCTCACACACAGACGATTTAAGAAAGTGTTTTTTTATTTCCCAAACTTTTACTTTTCTGACTTATGGTGTTTCTCAAATGACCGATTCAAATGTGTTTCATATAATTATATGTGTTCAGACGTGATGAGACCATTTTTGGTCTCGCTCGCTGTAGCGTCGCGTTTTGAAGTCGGTCTCGGAAAAACGTCCAAAGCCAATGCATCACGAAAAAATATTTTTATTCTTTATGTAAATATGACATTTCAATTTTAAAAATAACATCAATTCTAATCTAGCATTTTAATTTGCAAATTAGTGATGTTAATTATTGAACTTTTTTACTCGTTTCTTCAACATACAACAATTTGAGCTGTGTCCAGGCCGTTGGAGTCTATGCTGGTCGGCGTTGCTTTGTTTTCTTGCTGTATATTTTAGTCTTCTGATTCTATTTATCCCTGTTAGTTTGCTATGGGGTAATAGTATGAGAGCCCACTGCAAATTTCGACCGTCATCTGATAACGAAATGAAATATGCTCCAAAGGCATGTATCAACATTGTACTTTACCAAATTGCACCTGTGCCAATCCCTATCTTGAGCAAAGTGGTTAAAAAAAATTATTTTATATTCAAAAAATCACATAAAACATGACAGCGACAATTATGTTTTCCCTGAAAATTACAATCCTAATTCATTGTGAACCTAGCTTTTAAACCTGAATTTTTAATATTTTTACCTACCTTTTAAACCATGTTTATGTATGAAAGAAAGAAGGATGGCACTGTATAAAGCATTTGCAGAGATAGCCAATAATAATTATAAACTCTTGTTAGACAATTATTTTAAACCATAATCATAGTAGTTTTTTTGTCGTTTCTATGACAACCTGTAAAAATGAGTCACAACAATAGGCATACAAATAAATTTTTAAATCAGCAAACATTGATTCATATTTTTAATGATATTTACCTACTAATCGTGGATAGATGTTTTTGTGAGATGTTAAGAGGAAGAAAATGTTTCCCTTTAACGATATATATCAAGATATATTTGAATGTTATTTTCTGGAAAACTTTAAGGGCAAACAAAATTAGCGCTGTCATGCCTTATGTGATTATTTTAATATAAAATAATTTTTTTAAACCACTTTGTTCAGGATTGGGATTGGCACAGGTACCAGTTGGTAAAGTACAATGTTTTTCCATGCTTTTGGGGTATATTTCATTTCGTTATCAGATGACGGTAAAAAATTGCAGTGGGCTCTTGGGCTATAATATTAATAAATGTAAAATGTAATAAACATAAACTTAACCTCAAATTAATATTACAAACCAATCACTGTCACATGTCACGTCCGAATATTCCAACTCGACTCGGGATCATTTTTTTGGACTATGAAGACACCGACTAGATACTGGTATTTGCTTGTGTGCTAAACGCGTTCTGTAAATCATGAAAGGTCCAGAACGAGTTCTGGCAATTGTAGAAAGTCCAGAACGCGTCCTAGTCTACATTAAACAGCCGGAAAGCGATATTTCGGAAATTGGCAATATGCTGGTGGCCAGAACGCGTTTTGGTCATATTTTTCTACCATTTGCCGAGATCGGTGTTTGATCCTAACATATACAAAATTCTAAAATACGGCCTGGTAGCCGCACTTGCAACTTGTAATAAGCATTTCTACTCTAAAGACTTTTAAAAATGATTTTGTGTTATTGTAGAGAACGGTAAGGACATGCATTTACTAATAAACAACCAGCTGGAAGTCAGTAAAATTGGACGTCAAATCGCCGACCAAGTTTTAGATTCTCAGAAAAGAGGTGGGGATTCGTCGTCAGAAAGTAGTCCTGATCCTGAACCATCTTTTTCTCTTCCAACAGTCGCTGTAGAGGTAAATAAATCGTAACAAAATTACCCTATGTTCCGATAGTATTCATTAGTTTATATAAAGTTATTTTTTTATTATTTTAGCCTCACATTCTTGAAGAAGATGAACAAATTCAAAATACTGCTCTAACGGATTATTCGACAGATCCAAAATATTACGACATACGAAATATGTCATTAAATAGCGTTACAACTGACCCTGGTAAGGCTCAAAAGAAACTCTATTATGAATTTTTCCAAAAATCAATATCTAATTTACTTCTATTTTTGACTCGCATTATACAGGGTGCTTCAAAAAAAGGTGGCCCCATTGCTAGGTTAGGTAGAACACAGCAAAATACGTTGGGTTTTCTCAGTAAAAAAATTTCGTAAAGGCACCCGTTTTCAAGATACACGGTATTGAAATAAAAACAAATTTAGGCGATTGTCATAAAAACTGACATTTTACGGATTTATTAACATCCCTAAAGTGCCACTTTTTTGCCGCATTGACTTTTCGGCTGCTTTTTATAAACACAGATTTATCATACTAATCCTTAGCAACTCTGTACAAAATTATTAGTTAACGATGGATTTTTATTCGATCAATAAAAATTTAAAACATTTCTTGCATTTAAGCCTCTTTGACCCTCAGCCTTATTATCTTTTTTGGCCTACTAAGTTGTTGCTTGTCCTCGGCTAATGCCTCGGCTGCAATTTTCTGATTCGGCCAAAAAAAGATTAACTTTACGGCTTTGGTACTCAAATAACGAATATACACATTTTTTACGATTATGTCGAACCTATACTGGCAACATTGTAATTAAATTTTGTACGAATATGTTTTGGAAGCTGACACATCGCATAAATTTGCTTTTATATACCGAGTAGTTTTAAACATAACTTTTTTTGAGGTAAAATTTTATGGAAACTCAATTTTACACCAAAAAGGTACTCTTTGTAAAACTCGATACTGTGTACCGTTTTCGGAATATTTTAATCTAAAAATGATGAAGTAATAATTGATGCTGATATAAAGTAGTTTTAACGCCAACCGTCAATAAAGTCATATATTACCATAACGATTTACGGAAGTAAACAAACACTTTATCTCACTGTAAAAATCAAATATTTTATCTGCCGCTAATATTTATCAACATAGCCAAGGCCTGACAGAAATGATCTGTAACTGATTTGTTTTGTATTCGCTGTTATTTTTCTATTTGTTTATTTTGTCATACTAAAATGTGATGTTATAATATCTCCTTTTTTATTAATTATAATTGGTTGGCGATAAAAATTTGTATGGACCACGTCAGCAACGTGTCTTTATATCGAACTCGCCTGTTATTCGCCTCGCTCACTTCTCTAGCTCGGCTCATAATCTCAGACTAGTTCGATAAAGACTTACATAAACATAAATAACTATTAAAAAACAATTACCTGTTTATTAAAAACAAAACAAAATAACTATTTTAATGCTAATGTTATTATTAATTAAACAAAGAATCACAAGAAGAAAATTAAAATACATTTGACTAAAAACATGACATATTCAATCAGGCAGATATAAAAATGTATGCGATGTGCCAGCTTCCAAAACATATTTGTACAAAATGTCATTACAGTGTTGACAGTAGTTTCGACATAAACGTAAAAAATGTATTTTTTTTTTCAATACCTATCTTGAAAACGGATGGCGTTACGAATTTTTTTTTACTGAGAAAATTTATTTTGCAGTGTTCTACCTATCCCAGCAACGGAGCCACCTTTTTTTGAAACACCCTGTATATTAAAAACCCAAAACTTTTATGTTAAAATCAATCACAGAATGGTTTTTTTACTGGCACACTGACGTCACACTAACGTAGCGTGTTTGAATAGCTTGGGATTCATATACAATGAAAACTTGAAATGGGTTTTTGAATAATAATAACTAACAACTAATTAATTTTTGGAAGCTCTGGTTTTAAAGGAAAATTTACTTAATTAGCCTGTATGCAGTTTCATTAGCCTGTATGCAGTTTTTTAATTGTTTTAACACTTGCTGTATGTATGTCTCTCATTTTAAAAATATAATCAAACTTTAATAGTGTATGGTATCCTTTATTAAATTTTTCCACTACTTATTGATCTGAACTTTGCTGTGTTTCTTTTTATGTAATATTGGTAGGTTTTTAACTCACCTTCTATAGGTCCTGGAATTCCTTGTCCAGAACTGTGGTGTATATTGTTATATCGTTGTATTTTTATCTCTCTGTGTTCTCTCATCAATTCTATTTTTATAAGGCTGACCACACATAGAAATAGTAAAGAAAGCTAATTCCATACATCAAAAGTGAAACCATAAGCACAGAAGAGAGAACAATACAAAAAAGAAACATAGGACTAGTACCACCACAGAGATACTCTGAGAAAACGTAACTATTCACCGTATACCTAGCTCTGTGATGTTTTTTAAATCAAATTTTTTTCTCACCCTCTACAATAAAGGATAATGTATTGTCATGTAATAGTTAATTACTACTTTCTTCATCATAATTCAATTAAAAAACTTGAGCTCAAATAAATAATATTTTAATACTCGCAATGTTAATTTTTTTTAAATAATTTTTATTTTTTTATATATTATCAATTTTCAAAATGACTCTAAAATTTCATAAATAAAAGAAGTGACATCCCATTTATTCTTCTGTTATAAGCAGAAATGACAGATCTGTCAAAATAGTTAGATGTAAAGACCTGTTTACTATTTTTAGCAATTTTTAACAAAATCAGTTTCATCAGATTCAGATAGTGTTCCCCGTTGCTGGACAGCCTGTATAAAAATAAAAAAGTCTTTATTTACATAATCATAGGTATCTCATACATTTCTAGACATAAATATTATCTGGATACACTTCTTCATATAAATCTTATAATCAATAGTTCTGGAGAGGGTGCCACTCCACCACAGAGAGCACGCGTACCGAGTAGAAAGATGTAGAGAAACTGCCCTGGTACAGCTGACTGACGTAATCCACGCTGTACTGACAAACAAAGAAACGGTTGTGTGTGCCTTCCTAGACATAGAAGGAATATTTGACAACACGCTACTCGAATCGGTGAAAAGAGCATACAGAGGAGTAGATAGCACCACATCCAGATGGATGGCTCAGCTGCTATTTACGAGAACTGCAGAGACACAGCTAGGACAAGACACTATCTCCACCTGCACAACCAGAGGATGTCCACAAGGAGGAGTTCTATCTCCACTAATGTGGAGCCTAACGGTAGACGAACTTATATGCAGATTGACTGACCTTGGCATACCCTGTCAAGGTTATGCCGACGACAGTCATATTTGCTAGAGGCAAGTTTGGAAATGTCCTCTGTGATATAGTCCAAAGAAGACTAGAACACACCAAAAGATGGTGTCGTGAGGTGGGACTTAGTATAAACCCCACGAAAACAATACTAGCAGCCTTTTCAAGGAAAAGAAAACTCAATCTCAAAACGGTCAAATTAGATGAGATAGATATAGAATGGAAAAATGAAGTCAAAAATCTAGGCCTAACCCTGGACAACAAACTAAATAAGGCCACAAAACCCCTAATAGTATGCAGAAACATTACGGGGAAACGATCGAGATGTAATTCGAACACACTGCGATGGATGTTTAATGCAAGCGTGAGACCAATCATCACTTACGGAGCTATAGCTTGGAGTAACAGAACTAGTTTAGCTTCGAGAGCTATTATCTCAAAAGTACAAACTAGCCTGTGGTTACATCACTGGTTTAATGAGACCTTGTTAATTCTACGGCCGCAATAGAGGTGATCTTAAACCTCACCCCTCTACAGACGAAAGTTTATTAGCTTCAGGACTAAAGATACTTGGGATATTCCCCAAGATGAAATAAGAAAGAAGTACAGTTTTGTGAAAAACAAAACCACAGAGCTGGGCTGCAAGAAAGAGCAGTGAAACCAAAGAATCCATCGTTCGTGACATGCTATTGAGTGGTAGGTATACGTATATGGTTCCAAAACCATAGAAGGAACTGGAATAGGAGTGTATGGGCCTAGAACCAGGCACTCTGAAAGTTTGGAAAAATACCCAATCATCTTCCACGCCATTGAGAAGTGTATCCAGTTTAACATCGAAAAAAACTATCGTAGACAAGAGATTATCATCAGGTCCAATAGCCAAGCAGCATCAAAGCGCTGAGCTCTTACGTAATCAGCTCAAAAATGGTCTGGAGATGCCTATAAAAATTGAATGAGCTAGGTGAGGAAAATAGAGTTACTCTAACTTGGGTCCTGGGACATAAAGGGGTACAGGGGTACACCCTTTTTGGGACCTGAGCCGTTCTGCGGTATAGGAAGTAACACAATATTAGAAGAGATTAAAAAAGAATTGCGCAGTAGATAAAACGATAATTGGAACAATCTCTTAAGGCTAAGACAGGCTAAGATACTTCTGGGTGAATATAACCAGAAAAGATCGGAAGCCTGTATCTACCTGAGCAAGAACAGGCTACGCATTGTAACAGGGATCCTTACTGGGCGTTGCCGACTCAAAGAACACCTTAGTAAACTGAGAGTAGTAAAAGATAATGAGTGCAGATTCTGTGAGGAGGAGGAGGAGGACAAAACCTCCATTCACATTCTGATCGAATGTGTAGCACTCCAGAATCCAAGGGCACTATACCTAAGAGCATATCAAATAGAAAAGGGAAATTTACCTAACTTGAAGCCCCTTCAAATCCTACACTTCCTTGAGACGATAGGATTAGAAGATCGTTATAGGTATTAAGATATTTCCTTGCTACATTAGCGATAAACATTAACACCCCATTACCAAAATAACATAACAATAATAATACCCCTGTTTAATAAATTAATTACATTTGAATCAGACAATAAGTGTCTTTTATTGTACCTAGTATTTAATGTAATGCTACACGAAATTAATAAAAAAAAATTGTTCAAAAATGCTATAAACACGGTGTAATTAAACAATGAAACACAAATTCAAGCCAAAATATCACAAATAGACGCGTTCTACAAACTGAAAGATTGTAAATCAGGAAACGGTCCTGTAAAGGCAAGCGTCATATTCCCGATTTGAGCGGTGTTGCCAAGCCACTATTAAATATAGGTGATGGCGTGATGAATGAACAGGTCTTTAATATATTTTTGTATATTTAATTATACATAAATATTATCAGTTATTTTGTTGCGAAATTTCATGGTTATAGGGGTCTATTCTGTAACAATTCCTTTATATTTAACGGCCTTTAAAAATATTTTCTTCTTTACTTCTGTCATTATTTAAACGGATCTTTAAAATACATTAGAGGACTATCTTAAAGAAATCTGTTTAAATAATGACAGAAGTAAATTAACGAATACAAACATATTTTTATAGGCCGCCAATATTTTTAAAGGCCGTTAAATATAAAGGAATTGTTACAGAATAGACCCCATAAACTGTTTAAATCATTAATCTAAAACTAAATTAAATTGAAAATATTTTATGGCAGGTTTAATTAACATACCTGACAACGTTACAGGAACAAGTCATGCATACTGCGTATGCTTATAGACACACTATTCTGCGATCTCCTGCGTAGAGACGCGTTTTTGTGTAGAGTAGGTTTTAATTTCTGTTTAAATGTTCCATTTCTATAATCTTTTCATGCATATTGCTGAATTCTCCATAAAATTTCATTTTCAATTAAGTATCTTTTTTCCCCATTTAAATTGTATTGGTTCGAGTGTCTGAGTGAACGGGAATAACCAGGGTTGGCAGATACAGGTTTTTTGAACCTAGGTTTTTAGGTTTTTTAAACCTAAAAGTGAAAATCCTACAATTTTAGGTTTTTTTGAGATACATATTTAAAATTTACAAATTTTTTTTAACTCTTGCAAAAATTAGTGTATATAAAAACAAAGGCAAATATTTTATCACGTATCATTTTAAACTTAGCTTATTTATTAACAACTAGCGGTACTTATTTATTTTTTAATTCTTAGGTTATTTCCAACTTTGGAAATGAAGTGTGACAAGATATGATTTGACCTATCCAAGCAATTTTTAACATCTACGATATTAATACCCAAAATCCCATGTCTCAAGTTTTCGTTGTATCTTTAAAAGTTTCCTACAAAAATATTCCTTGATGGACGATCTTTCAAGTTTTAGGTGGAACTACTGACGAAGGCATGATCGAAATGATGGAAGAAGAACACGATATAACAGATCGTACCAACCCCACTTCGTCCGTGGACGGTAACGACGAGGCGGCAATGGCGGTCATCATGAGCCTGCTGGAAGCGGATGCAGGCTTGGGCGGACCGGTAGATTTTTCTGGATTACCATGGCCGTTGCCTTGACCAGAATAATTTGATTTAGAACACTAGTTATATTTGTGTTTTCAGTATGGGTGTTTCAAGAATAAATCAAAGCAGTTCAGTGTTAAACGTACCCGTTGAATATATATTTATTTTGGACATTTGTTGATTTTTTTAAATTTGAATATATTAATTTATTATGTATATGCAGGTATGGAATCTTCAACACGGATAATATAACAATGAATAATTGTACAAGGTATAATAAGAACATTCATATATCAGTTAGACCGCTATCGCTCCTTGAGCATAAATCTGCTGCCAGCGGTATCTTTCTTGTATATGCATGTTTCTATTAAACTTTGTTCAAATCATTATACGATATACCTTCCATGTTGAAAATTGAATGTCAAAAGAAGCAACTTTCCTATTGACACTAACTTTCTAACATTCTTTATTCTCATTCTTTCGTCTGGTTTCTCCCCCTAAGGGATCCAGGCTTCCTTCGAGGAAGCTCAAGCCCCAACCTCCTCCCATTAGGATTTAATCATGGCGACACTGAAGCCCCATCTGCTTATTGTGTCACCATTTGATTACTTGTAACGTGATACTTGTAATTTTATCTATTTGTTATAATGTATTTAAACTCAATTGATTGGGAGTGGATTATGTTATTAAATAACTCAAATAACTTTGAAAAAGAAGTTGGACACCACTATATTTAAAACTTACTATACTTGACTTTAGATTAGTGATAAAAATATAGAAAATCACTAACCACTAACAAATTATATTTAAACCAAGTTTTAGATAAGGTAGTAGCAAATTCTAATTCACATAGTTTTGCTAAATTCAAATTTAAGATGATTTATTTGAAAGCACTTATCTTTTGTTAACAGGAGGTAGAAATATAAGGAATGTTTATCGCATGGTATTCTTCAGGCAACTTCAAAGGGATTCGGTATCCTTATTCTTAATTCTGGACTTGAACGATATCGTAAAATTTGGTATTCTAACTTAACTCGAAACGTGTAGACCTTCTATAGGTGAACCAAACCACGGTCTTCAGATTGTACTAAACTTCTAGACATAAATCCAAATAAACTGTCTTGAAAGGAATTCAAAACTTCTAAATATAAATCCACATAAACTGTCTTAAAAGGAATTCAAAATTTCTAGATATAAATCCACATAAACCATCTAGATATAAATCGAAATAAATCGTCTAGATATAGATCCAAATAAACCGTCTAGATATAGCCACGCTAAAAAGAAAAGGTAAAAATGTTAAGAAAGGAAATAGGAAATTTGAACAGGATTTAGATAAAATGCTTTAACGATTAAATGGACAATTTAAAACTATTAAATTAATAATTTCACAGAGACTAAAATTAATATGAAAAGGAAAAATCTTATTTAATATATTTAAACATAGTAAAGCATAATATCTTATTCCAAACAAAATAATATATAAATCATCCATGTGTGTTACTCATTGTTGATAGGTATTGAGGTTATGTCGGAACTTGACAATTTATTTGAAAAATCCTTGTATGAAATATATATATTTAACAATATATTAGTATTAAAACTTACCTTATAAAATCAGACGGAATTTACGATAGATAAAAATCAATTAGTACATCGGATGACCAAGATAATTTTAAAATGAAATCTAGTTGATTCATTGACATTCAAGTCAAAAATGATTTTCACACGACTCAAGGAAGAAGAAAACGACAAATGATATTTGAGTAAAGGTGATTGTGTTGAAATAACGAATAACGGTTCCAACCGTTACATACTCTATTCCTTCAAATTTATTCAGTTCATTCATCCCACCATCTAGATGGGTCTGGGCATGGAGGAAGGAGGTCTGGGTTTACGCTGATTAACTGGGGTCGGTATTTTCAAAATTAAAACCATGAATTGTATTGCGTTGCCGGATTTTTGCGTTATCGGATTCAGAAACAGTCTTGTCAAAGAAATACTTACTCCTAAGAGAGAAAGACAATGAGACAATTAGCTACCTGCTTTAGACCTTTGATAAAGATGTACATAAAGGGGAAAGTAGCGACAATAAACAAATTAAATGCTTTAAACATTTTTTTCTACGTTCATGCAAAAAACAAAACTTTATTGAACCATATTTAGTGAAAAAACTGGTTCTTTATTGCACTAGTGCAATAAAAATTTTATTGCACTCATCTGTCATTTTACTACAGCGTTTTATGATCATGACAAACATAAATATTCAAATCAACGCCAAATATTCCTATTTAGTCCATTTTCATTTTCTGTGTAACGTTTTAAAAACATATTTTATATTATTTTCAATCATTTAATAAATAAATTAATAAAAAAATGTATTTGATTAAAAAAGTCATTACAAATTATGAACACAAACGTAAATAAATGCCTCAAACAAAGGTACACGATCACGGCTACTATGATTTGGATAATACAACTGCAGTTCAATTAAAAAAAATTTGGTTTTTGCATGAACGTAGAAAAAATATGCAAGTGCAAAAAGTAAGTGTTTATTGCACGCGACGGCGAGTGCAATAAACACTTTTTGCACGAGTTGCATAAATAACTATTAAATTCCTTGCGAAGTGTTTTTATAAACATGAAAAAAATGTTTAGTTAATTTTAGTAACAGTAAACAATTTATTAGTTCATTAATTTATTAGGAAATTAAACAACTAAAAAACTTTTAGTCACTTAACGTACCTACCTATCGATTTCTTGTTTGCAAAAGCGACAAATAATAAAAAGACATTAGTACATAATTTTACAAAATAAAAATAGATTTTGGACAACGAATTAATTGGATTACTATCTGAAACACGTACATTGAAAAATTATTGTAATATCTTGAAAATTATGTCTTCTAGGACATGTTTATAAAGTACATTTTACTATACCCATTGAAAGAATGGTATTCTCGTTTAGATTAATATACTACCGTGTAAACTTTTCATAAAACTCAGCTTAGAGAGTTGATAAAAAAATACATATTAGTACATTATACATTATTGCTATAAACCTCCGACTTTTTGGCCTAGACGTTTGCTTGTGAGGTCTCATCTCACTTTCAAATTATATTATAATACCATCAAATTTTATATAAGCAGCGACTGAATTATTAAGCTTAACACAATTTATATTAAATTATTAAACCGTACAAATGAAACTAGGAAAATAACGTATATCCCTCAAGTATATTGTACCGAGTAGTACTACTCCCTTGCAATAATTATTTAATTTATACAAAAAGTAACATCATTCAACCCCACTAACATTCTGTTTGTAAAGATGACTCAGGGCACATCCCGAATAAAACGATTTAAAATGCATTAGTAAAGATAATTAAGATTAAGAGAATGTAAAAGATTGTTGATTTAACCTAGTTTATTAATAAATACACTGCAAGGGTAGAAATGAACATGGATTTAATAATAAAGTACCCTCTCATTTACAAAAGTAATGAAAGGCTTCATGTTTAAATATATAGGAAGTTTCTTTTATCGCTACCCAGGAGGGCTGAGTACCTAGGAAAGAAGCTGCTACTCTGTCCGCTAGATCAGACAATTGCGAAGTAGATTCCATAGGGAAAGCACAGGAAGCAGGGATGAATCAAGTTGCAGGAAAGAGAAGATAGATTATTATTTAGTATTTTTTATAAATTTTAATAACGAATCACCTCTTTATGAGTCTTGGGCAAGCTTCTGGAAATTTATTAAATACAAGGTTTTCACACATATCTTAAAGATATATTGATTTTTTTTTATTGACTTGATCGGGTCTAGTGACTACCTCCTTTTATTATATACAACCAATAAGAAACTTGCTTCTTTTGATTTATAAAATTTTAAAAAATCTACAGAAGACCAAAATCAATGTATTTGGTGCGGGTACTTTAGTCGAAGAAGGTGGAAGGGCAGTTGGATACAGCTACAACAGAACTGAATTTATTTTGTTTAAAAAGAAAATTGTAAACGTGCGTTATTAAAAAAACTCAGTATTTATAACTAAGATGCCTAATGATTTTGTAAATGGCTAAAATTTATTTTTAATAAAGATATATTATTATTAAAACAACAATTCGATGTAATTTGTTTTATTTTTATACCAAGGTAGGTAATGTCCGATCCATTCTTAAATTAAAGAGTCCAGAGATGCATAGAACACCCCAAAGCATTACCCTACACCGGTGTTTGAGGAAGAGGAAACCATAACTCTGCATAATGGACTGACTTTGGTTATAAACGTATAAGACATTTAAGGGTTTTTCTACTCCTATACTATAAGTTGTTAATTAAATGCTAATTTTCAGTTTCATAATGATACTCACTATACAGAGGTTTTCATTATGAAACTGAAAAATTGACCAATAGAAATTTAGATTTTTAAATAATCAAGTAGGCAGACCCAATATTTTCTGTAGAATGTTTGACAGTTTCTAAGAGATTCGTATTTTATGACAGTTTCAATCTTTTGCGTTAGTCAAAAAGGTAGATAGGTACCTCTCACTTATTTTTAATAAAATGTCGAGTGACGAAGAGTTTTCATGCACACCACCTGAAATCGCTGAAAAGGTGAAAAATGTATCATCATAGTAATTATATTGGTTATTGTGTAGAAGAGGAACAAACTGTTTATCCACTTGCCAATGCACCTGTAGTGTATTTTATCGATACTGATTATCAAACATGTAACTTACTGGAAAAAAAATTTGTAAGATATATATGCGGGTATCTTGTCTAAAGGTGTCTAAAAGTTCACTCTTGTGACACTTGTAAAAAGTATGCCAATAAACAAAAAGAGGTAGATGAAACAACTTTTTTATGTTTTTTAAAGCTTCTGTTACCGAAAATTTAGACAACTTTGGGCATTTAAACATGCCAAGCAACAGTTTTGTTTATTTTGTTTCCACATTGGAAAATATCTTGCAATATCTTTTCAGGCAAACGTACCTACTTAAACAATTAATTAGTATGTTTAAAACAGTAATGTTTGTTCACCTATGTAAACAGTTT